GAGTTTCGCTCTGAAGTTTCGCAGAGATTTTCTAACCGCATGATTGCGACGAGAGATGCTGTATATTCCTCGAGATTATTTCCCAGACAGTTTGGATCAGTCTTTAGCACTTAGACGGTTTTTAGATTGTCGTTTGCTTTTGGGATGATTTCGACGAGGCGTTGCATCGTCCGAATATTTTTCCGCTTATTTTAGAAAGTGTTTTCTTGATGCGAGGAAAAATGTTCGGCGAAAGAAGAAAGACGAGTTTCGTTTGAAGGATTTGGATGATCGACAATCCGGGTCGATTAAAGACCATGGTGGATCGGAGATGACTTGGAGTATGTCTGATTTACGAGAACTTCTAGGAGCGAGTCGGTTTTAAGACAAAGTCAGCGTCTCTAGATCCTTCTTTCTTTTAAGAAATGAGTACGTTTGACTGCGTGGCGATCGTTTCTCGGTTGTACGAGAGATTGGATCGGTTTGCGAGTTATGCCTGAATGGTTAGAGAACAAGAAATCGAGATAGACAAAAATTGCTTACGACTTAGCATGCTAGACTATCTTCTAAATTCTACGTTCTCTAGGTTTCTTGGCAGTTTACAAGACGTTTTCGTTTCTTACCTACGAGAAATTAGAAGTCTAATAAAATTTTCGAATCGGACATACCTTAGTTTCATCGATGATTTGGGGTCGTCTATTCTTCATTCTTCTTCTTTTGACCTACCGGTCTTCGACGAATTACCAGCGAGAGTATCAGAGCGGGGAGAAGACTTAACCATCGGAGCTCGTGTTCTTGTTTCTTCATACTGCTGGTTTTATTTGACCGACTAGGTGCGCTTTGTATATCGAAAAAATCAATCACGTGTTTATGATTGGATGTTTTCGACTTAGCGTGGCAGAGTTTCGTAAAATCGGATTAGGTTTAGAGAGTTCAGATTTCTCGTATAGTTTAGGCAACTTTGGTGTTAAGTCAACTGTTGCCGTTTTAGACGATTGATTCGAACTTATACGAAGAAACAAGTCTTTGCGATTTTATCGTAAAATCCCGATGGAAATTCCGGTTCAGACGAAACGAGAATCAGCGCGATCAAGACTTCGAGAGAACTCGAGGATTGGTTCAGCTCGACGTAAGGCAAGTCGGGTGAACCCTTTCAGCTCGTCGTGTGGCTATCTGGATTGTAAGAACCCTTGGGGCGAAGTCAGCGTCTCTTGGGCGAGCCAGGCGCTTGGGTCAGCTCGCTGTATGGCGAGCTAGCAAGCTCTACGTTCGGCGAGCTAAGACGCTTGGCGCGGGTGATCTCGATTCGTCGAGTTGACTTGTTTTCGTCGTAGAATCTCAACGGAAAGTCCGATTGAGACGAAACGAAAAGCGTCTCGATCAAGATTCGAGATGGAGATGTTTCCATCCATCGAGCTTGTCCAACTTGCCTAATGGTGAGTCGGCGAGCACAGTCCCGATTCATCAAGCTATCTTTTTTCGTGGTAAAACCTCAACGAAAACTTTGATTGAGGCGAAACGAAAAGCAGTGCGATTATTGTTTAGAGTACGGTCCGGCTCACCATAGCTATGAGTTGGATTGTGCGGACCCTCGGGAAAAAGTCAGTGCCTCTGGGACGAGGTGGAAAGCCGGTCAGTTCGCCAAGATGGCAAGCTAGGTTGCTTGGCCAACTCACCGTCTTTCCGGCTGGATAGTATTGCCCGATTCTGCGAGTAGCCTAAGGTTCTTCCGCGAGCAACCTAGGGTTTTGTCGCGAATAACCTAGGGTTTTTCCGCGAGTAACCTAGGGCTTTCTCCGCGAGTAACCTAGGGCTTTCTCCGTGAGTAAGCTAGGGTTTTTCCGCGAACAACCTAGGGTTTTTCCGCGAATAACCTACGGTTTTTTCGCGAGTCACCTAAGGCTTTCTCAGCGAGTAACCTAGGGTTTATCCGCGAACAACCTAGGGTTTTGCCGCGAATAATCTACGGTTTTTCCGCGAGTCACCTAAGGATTTTTCCGCGAACAGACTAGGGTTTTCCGCGAGTATCCTAGGATTTATTTCGCGAGTAAGTTACGGTTTGTTCCGCGGTTTCTGGGAGAGCAAGTTTTATTTTTCCGAAAGGTTCTCGGAAAACGTCTTTTGCTTAACGCATGAGATTTGTCCAACTCGGAAATAAGAAAAACACTATGGGGTTTGATAGATTTTATCGTTTCCCTGAGTGATCTGAGATAGAAATCGTGAGCTTGTTTTATTGCTCTTTCTGTGGCGAAGAGTCGCGATTAGGTTTTCGATTTTGTTGAGTACTACAGCGTTTGCGCGAGCGTTGGCTGTAGGAGCAGTCGCTGCTGGAGTTGTTTTACCAGCGTCTTTTTGCGAGTTGCGACTTTTTCTTTCATACATCCAGACATCGTTTTGGTCAAGCGTTTTGCGGCTATGAGTAAGAGTAATCCGACCCCCCCTCCTTCTAGCGCCAAACTGTGGGAACCGAGATTCACAATTGTCGATTGAGAGCAAGAAGGATTCTTATTCCGAGATTCACGTAAAAACGGTTACAAAGAGAGTTACCTTAGCTGCGTGAGCCGTCGGCGAAATTCCTAGTTCTAGCAATCTAAGACTAAAACCCTAGTTGAGACGCAGCTCGATAACAAAAACGGAAAATTGCCTAAATGCTAAGTTTGGTGGTGAAAGCTCTAAAAACTCGTGTCCCTTGCTTCTGCCCTAGACCTCTTACTTATATACTCCTCACCTTGGCCATTCGGTCTTTCCATTTCGC